TTATGCAAGTGTTACTTTAAAATGAACGAAAATTAAGAAATAATTTTCAGTGCTTTAAATCACGAACACGACAAAGACGACGAAAACTTTTTAAATCGTCAAAAACTCAAAAACAAACTAGGATAGATGGCATTGATCGATTGATTCCAAAATCAACATTACATTTTAAAACAATAAATAATTTATAATATACAATTTTTAACCACACTATTTATACAAATGACAGTCTTCAGTCTGTAAAAGTGGGAAGGGAAATTCGTATAATATTTACCAACTAATCAATTATTAACCGAGACGCAACTCCTACATGTCGCGAGAAAATCGCGGACGCAATTCAGATGTGTTGTGCAAAAACAACGGACGCAACTCGGATATCGCGATTTATATTTTCGTATTCTGGGACGCAATTCGTATGCAGCCGTTTGTACCGTCCCATTCCAAGTAAAAAAAAAATAGTATATGTACCCAAAAAATTAATAAAAATAGTAGGTGAGCTCCGTCCCCCTGCGCACCACCCCCCTAACTCTTCAATCGTCAATCACAGAATGTTGATAATCACGATAGTAAATTGTGATTTAATTCATATTTGTCGACCCGAATATGTGGGAATACGTAAAATCGTAAAATCGCTGTAACGTAACGCAAATTACAATTTATTACTGTAACAAAATTACTTTTTCAGTGACGCTGTAGTAATTTAATTATATTTTATTTAAATTAACGCAATTGCAACGAAATTACTTTTTAAAAGCAATTTCTATAGGTAACGTGTTATTTTTCACGTTATTAAAATAAATTATGAATGTTGAGCATATAATATGATAACTAGGATATTCGACAAAAATCAAAAATAAATACAATTTACTGATGGTTCCGAAAGTTATAGATAATTATAATCAACGATATTGCCTATTAAAGATCCCAGGAATTAATACTAATACAATAAAATATATATAGTAATTATTAATAGTATACCTACTACTCATTAGTCATTAGATTTTGTAATTAATTTTTAATAAAGCAACTTTATCTGTAACGCTCTACTTTTTGAATATAAAAATAACTCAACGTCATAAAAATAATATCGGGTAACCCAAATGTAATTTAAATAAAAATTTTTAATTCAACTAGTAACATATATTTATTACTTTTCAAAAGTCATTTACCTAACACTAAAAATCACAAACTTCGGAACGATAAACTTCAAAAATAATGATTTGCATAAATTTTTTTTTTAAACCATTGTTCTCAATTCTTTCAAATATATTTTTCAAAAAAAAATCGGTGACCCCCAGATTACTATAATTAAATATAAAATATAATACGATTTGTAATAATTATAATTAGTCAATACATGTAATACGTTGTAATTTACTTACATATAAGGTAACCCTGAATCCTCATAATTAGTAATAATATCACCAGTGACGTATTTAGTAATTATTTGAGGGAGAAGATATGACTAAAATAGTTTTTCTCCCTCCACTCGAAATACATTTTCAATTTATTACAACTCCATACCTAATTTTAATTTATATCCGTGCATAGTATATAAACCTTATAATTATTACATATACCATTTTAAATAATATGAATTAAACAATAAAACATAAATAATAAGCTAAAAAATAAACAAAAGCCAAGGGGAGAGATATATGTCCCTAATCTCCCCCTTAAAAACGCCAATGAAGATCACACACCGAGTTAGAGTCCCCGAGACGGCAAGTAAATATAAACAAATGGCATACCTGTAAGGACGCTTCACACGGAATACGGAGACACCGCCTCGAGACGAAAAATCACAGATTTCAATCCCCTAACGCGCTAAGGCGTGGCGGTACGGGAGTGGGCAACAAGGGTTGCATACGACTAGTGCATGGGACCCTGGTACATACACCATCCGTTTTCGCAATCTTACTCTCTCCGGAATGTCGTTTCACCGGACTTCACACGGCTGAGATGGTTTGCAAAATCTTGCCATTTCATTATTTTCGCTGAAATCGAAATCGACCGACCAGGGCCGCAGCAGTGGTTGTAGGGTGAGAGTTGCTGTAATAATACTGCCACTCGGCCACTACCCTCCGACTTTGCACAGTGTGGCGATGTACACAGGCAATGTGAATGTTATTATTTCTTGCTGGGCGTTATTTTTATGCATTTAGAGACAAGCGAAAGAAAAATGAACACAATAATATATAGTTATATTATTCATTATAAATATGTCCCCAGATTTAATATTTGAAATTCATCCATTTGCCTCAAAACGATTTTTTTTCCCAACCATTTTAAGTAAAAGTGTAAATTGAGAAAAAAGCAAACTCATCCAACACGACGATATATTACAAAATTGTTTAACTAAACGGAAAACACAGATCAAATTACTAAAAACCATAAAAAAATTATAAACAATTATAACAATTTACTACATGCCATGGGGGCATCCTCTATTTTTTTTTTTTTGAGTATCCCAACTATTATTTTATACTTGGTCAAGGTACAATTAATAAATGGCCAAAAAATGTTTTGTTACCATTTGGATTTAAATTATTGTTGTCAATGATACCTACCTAATGAATTTTACAATTTGATATCAGCTTATTATATTTTCTACGATTAAGACTACCTACCTAATACCTTACTATTTTTATTTAAGTTTGCTTAGATTATATAACGCTTGTTCTTTGCTTGGTGCAGTAATGTGCTGGCATTCGCTGATTAAGGGGGGGCTATGGGTGCTCGGTCACCCGCTGTCGTCTAAGGCACTCTAAGCCACTAATGAAATACATTTGTATTCAAAATTCTAAAATAGAAAGGTGTAACTATTTTTTCTTAGATTCTGAGCGGAGGGATGTGTGGATGATGTGTTTTTTATACATTTTTATATTTTTTTTTTGTTTTTGTCATCACCGTATTTGGGGCAGTACAACTACTTCGATTTTCTTCAACAGTACCTATTTGTCTATATGTATCTACCTATATATATATCTCAATCGATGGGAAAGTGAAAACAGTTGGTTCTTTCAGAAGGTCAAAATTTAAAATTCCAATAGTTTTAAAGGAGTAAAATCAGTTTTCAACAAAATCAATATTGGTTTTCGGTGTAAATCTAAAACAAATAACAGTAGATAGGTACATGAAATTTTCACTGGATGTTTATATTAGCAGTAATTTCTGAACACAATAAAATTCACAAGATCAATACATCTTGAGTTGTTTTGAGCTGTTTACGGACATAATACATTTTTAGTTTTTTTTTCTATGATTTCCAATAAAATTTTATTTGGTGTGTAAAAAAGCTTGAAAATTAAATACAAGTATCTTAATATATTGTAACAATGACATTTGAAAAATATTAAATATACAGTCACAATTTTTTCATATAAGCATTTAAAGTTCAAATTTTGACAAAATACCTAAATCACGAAATTGTTCAAATTATATTGAGTTAGAAATACATAAAATTTTTTTTTTAAACTAACGTTAGACAATTTTATACAAGATTCCTCATAAGTAACTTTGTTTACCAAAAAAAAATATCTACCTTAAAGTCAAATTAAATTTTTACATCATTGGATATTCTTTCGATTTCTCATATTGGCATGTAGCGATTTACTTATTTTGTTGTAATTCAAACACGAATAACTATAGATACTTGAATCTTACAGCATAAAACAACTTATAAATTCCCGTACTTGACCGGTTTTGAGCTGTTTAGGGACATTTTAAATATTTTTAGTTTTTTTTTCTTTTATTGTGAATAAATTGTCATTTGTTGGGCCAAAAATCTTCAACATTTAATACAATGCCCCTGCTATATTGTTACTTTACCAATTGAAAAATGTTTAAAATACATATAAGCAAATTTTTTTTTATAAGCATTGAAAGTTCGAATTTTGACAAAATGTGTCTAATGTTGTAGTTAAAAATGTTTGTAGTTAAAAAAGCTTTTATAGCTAAGGATTGACAATTTAAAACAAAGTTCCACGTTAATAGGTAAATAAATTACTTAATTCACAAAAATACCATCAAAATAATATACTTGGTAATATTATAGCATGACTGACTGTCTTCTCTCAGAATCGTTTTTCTTATATAATGATATTATATCATTGAATTCAAATTTAACAGTATCTATTAAAGACTACAGTGATCCAATTGTAACCTTCTGTACAGCAGAAAAACACCCACTGGCCCACCTTTTTTGTTTGAGCACCCCCTGGTAAAATCTTTGGGATCCGCGCCTGGTTACTGGTATATGTATGCAATAAACTATTGTATTATCAAATATTGAAATATCTGTGTTGACTTCTAGTGTTGACAATTGACCCATGCGTCTGAGCCACAAACCAAGATAATATATTTTTGATAAATATTATATTTTAATTTCCTACTGATTAATGAAATATGTAAGTATTCATGTAAGTATTGCTATAAAAATATAGGAATTTCTAATAAAATATTTTTTTTTTTGTTAGTGTATATATGATAATAATTGGAAAACTTTTTGAAAAATTGGGTAAATATAAGTCCACATTCACTTACATGTTACTTAATTACATATATTATACTTGGAATATAATAAAGCCAAAGTGCTATGACTAAGCTGAAATGTAATATTCAAAATGTAGGAATGAGGTTGTCGGTGTTAAATAATATTACGCTTGGAACTCAATTATTAAATCGTTGGATTGATCTCCTTTACTTAATGTTTCCCATTCGAGTACTGACTACATCTAACCTAACTTAACTTACCCATCTTACATCTAATACAACGTCAGATGCAAGTCAATGAAAACATATAGGTATAGTACGCTTTAAAATATATATTTTTATTAATATGAAAATAAATGATACCAACTTTGTAAATTCAACAATACATTTTAAAATAATTTGCAAAAAGTAAAAAGTAGAGTAGGTAAAAAATTGTATAGGTATATATTATACCTATATAATCCATATATATTCATCTGCACACATATCTTCATCCAAATTCTTCAAACCTAGGCGGATTGTTGATAGTCAGCTGAAAAAATATCAAATATTTGATTTATCAAAACAAATAAAAATGTAACAACAAAGAGCTTACTAGCTTAGAAACAGTTTTAACAGGTTTAAAACAGTATTAACCATTGTATAATATGTAATGTCAATTTTCATGTAGGTAGGAGGACGTGATGTAGTGATACCCGCATGTGTTATCTCCGTCTTACAAGTGCGTAACATAGCAAATTTTACGGTCAGCAGAACACATGTAGCTCTTTTAGTATAAAAATAAGAGCAAATTGACCTCTTATAAAATCAAAATTTAAGATTATTATCTAGTCAACTTCAAGGGCTTTTTATCATATTTTAATTTTAACGAGAGTTGTGAGTATTTAAAAATTGTAAATTGTTTGTATATCTTAAATCTTAAACGCTCGTTAAATTAAAGTAAAAAAGCCTCTAGGTGACAGTATATTTACCTTTAGAAAATGTCATTCGCTAATTTTAAAAACGGACTAACTGTCTTGATAAAATTATTTACAAGACGGAACAAAATATTACGTCCTCTTAAAAGTATAACTATTAGTAATAGATTATATTTATTTTATATCGACACAATTATTTTTTACTTTTTGAATACTAACGATCAGTAGTGTAGACTATGTACAATAGGTAGCTCTTGTCAGATTGTATACACGTTCATATTGTATTCATACTATATTATCTGCATGATAACATTAACAATTGTTTTTTTAGGTCTTAAAATTTATGAACATATTATAAAATAGTTACTCAACCATCAAAGAATTAGGTGATTCGAGGTTCGATTTAAAAATTATATTTGTAATTATATAGACAAGTTTGGACCTTGGATACGTTAGAACCACTTTACCAGTTTTAATAAATTAATAATTTGAAAATATAGCCATGTAATTGAATACAATGGGTATATATATTTTGTCAATGGTAAATATTTAAACAAAAAAATGTTCAATAAAAATAATTATTACTCGAGTCAGTATAGACAACGGGGATTTTCTTTGTAAATATCTAAGACCATTTCTAGGGGCACTTGATATTAATACGGAGCTGAAAACTTGTTATTTTTTCGAAGACCATTGAGGCGTAAAGGCGCTTTCAGGGAGCTCACAATATAATTAACTGACCTACTAATAGTAAGGAGCAAACCATTGATTGTATAAACTTTACAAGTTAAAAAAAATTGGACCCCCCCCCCGCCACTTTGACATAGTCATAATTTATTTTTTATAATCAATTAAAGTTCAATTTTTGACAAAATACGTAAAAATCACGAAAATGTGTTACCTAATTATTTTGAGTTAGAAATTCATAAAAATTTTATTTTTAAATATAAGCTTTTAAATTGAATACAAGATTCCTTGTCAAATCTTTGTCAAACTTTGTCAAAACAATAAAATGTCTATAAGAAAGTCAAATTACATTTTTACGAGAGTTTGAAGTTGACATTTTTACAACATTGGATATTCACTCGATTTTTCATGAAGCTATTTTCTTATTTTGCTGTAATTCAAAAGCTAATAACTGTTGATACTTCAAATTTACATCATATTTTTATTTTATTAATTCCTATCATTGATAACATTTTAAAAATATTCTGAATCGTTTTGAGATATAAAGAAGCAAATTTCAAATTTAAATTTTTTTAGTTTTTTTTTCTATACATGTTCATCACATTTTATTTGTTCGTTATAAAAAGAGTGAAAATGTCATAAAATAAGGCTCCTAATATATTTATACAATAAATAATAGTTAAAAATATAACAAATACATAGGCTCGATTTCTATTTATTAGCATTTAAAGTTCAAATGTTGTCTAAATTTATCAAATTTTAAATTAAAAATAAGCTGGTACCTAAGTGAATGTCACTCTGTTGCATAGTAGGTTCAAGTGGGTCAACGTATAATGGATTTTAATAAATATGAATATTATGATATTATATCATTATAATAAGAACAACGATTTTGAGAGGATACAGTTTATCAGTCTGGATATTTTATATTTTTATTATTTATAATAGCCTGTAAGTTGAATTAATATTATAATATTATTATTTTTTATTCGTTTCCATGGTGATAAACAAAGCGTTAGAAATTAAAATCCCATTTTTAGCGGTTTTTCAAATTAGAAGCGGCTCCGTCGGTTCAAACACGGGGAAAAAAAAGGTACTTATATATTATTATAGTACCTATGTCTTACAATATTATACAGGACGTTACGTTATTATTTATTTAAACGCAGTCTTACAGTTCCGACTTAAATTGTAAAAAATTATATACAGTACAGATTTTTTGTACCACTTAAGAATGACCTTGTGATAATACAAACTTCCGTTTTTCAAATAGGGAACACCCTTTTTATTTTTAATTATTAAGCAGATCATTTTTTTGAGAATTTTGATTTACTTTTCTAAATCAATTTCAAGCTATAGTAGTTTTTAGCTATTTCACTATGTGTACTAAAGACTAAGGACAATAATATGTCAATGTAAAGTAAATTTGGGGGCTTGGACGATTTAAAAAGTTAGTAATTACTATTGATTTATTATTATAAACAATTTGTAAAAATTATCTAAATAATTACTTCTAATAAAACATTTAGTATTTAATTTTACAAAACAATTTTTAATCTTAGTATAAACATTGTAATAACTCAGAAACTACTCATTAGAACGCCAAACAGTTTGAAAATTAAAAAAAATGTTCCTCGTAGGGGTTATCAGGTTGATTTCCAAACCTAAAATTAGGCTTGTATTATCATTGAGTTTATTATAATATAAATTATTATATATTGGATCCAATTTTTTCTTCCATATAATGTTGGAAGCTATAAGTGGCCAATATACTTCTTATTGCCTTTACTTATTATGTATTATACAATATACATTATACAATTTTTTGAACCCAAATAGCCAAAATAGCCAAAAATAGCCGATTTGTAAATCTAATTCTTAGAAAAATGTAGATGTTATAAAACGTTTATTTAAATCCAGTAGGTAGTTTATTTTTTTTATTTTTTTTTAAATATAAATATTTTTTCGGATTAAAATAATTTTCAGACATCTAAGTACTTCTTAAATTATTTACTATCCATACAGTTTAAATAACTTTGTTCCTACGTTAACTTTTTATTAGTCACAATTTACTGACTCAGTTAAAATAATAAGTTTTCCCCTCGCAATATTTTTTCTTGGTGGGAGGGGGGACTTCCACCACAGCGTCCGTACCTTTTTCGTTTGCGGTCAATATATTTCTATCTACTTAAATATCAAATTAAATGTTCTAAACATATTATATAATATATGAAATAGATTCTATATTATAATATATAATATATTTATTATAAAATTGTGTTACAAACTTTTATTCCATAATCCGTTGTTATGTATAAATATGAATTTTTCATTTTCTTAAGACAATTGTATGATTTAGAATTATAAACTTGTTATCAATAATTATCACATATACCTAAACAATTTACCTAATTTTTTTTTCCACTACATTATTTATTTGTATGTACCTGATATTTATTGTGCACCTACGACCTATAACATTCAACCTTATTGGAATACCCATGTGTTTGTGTATTAAACTTTTAGGCTAAAATGATTTGATACAGAAATATTAGATTTATTTGTTATCAAGATATAATAATTAGAGGACAACTGGAGGTTATTATTAAATTAAAATTGTATTCTACTGCTGTAAACTATTAGTGATATAAATATGGCATGATCGTTTACCATAATGGGCAATCTGTGAACTCAACCTCCTACGAAAAAAACTGTTCAATAGGTCCAATGAAATGTTAAACTAATTGGTTCAGTTAAAATTATTGATACGTAACCTCAGCTCGAATGAAGAAGGCTCTGATCCTCCAAAAATTATTTCATTTAATTGACATTAGTCGAGGTAGTATTTATTTCTTTAACGGACATTTGCCAATATAGTATATACAATTTTAATTTGATCTTCGAAATCTGAATATTTTTCTGAGTAGGTAGTTTGGTACATAAAAATCGAATTTAGGACATGTAGTATATGAGGTATAACTTTTTAAGTAACTTTAAAGGTTTGATTAAGGAAATGGAGTGGCACCCGGTTACCCAGCAAAAATATGTCGTTCTCCCTGCACCGCTCTTCTAAACTTATAAGCTGTTTGTTCTAAAACTGATGTGTACCTATGTAACGAAATACTTAAAAAAAATTCTGCTTTGGGATTTAAAACTGTAATATGTTGTCGTTTAAAAAAGTAAGAAACTTAAAAAAACTTTGAGGATAAAAAAATATGAAAAAAATAAATATAATATATTTTTTAAATGTTGTTTTTTAATGAATAGAAACCGCGTGTAAAAAATAGTTTTCATAAACATTCATAAATTTTAAAATAACGTGTGTTCAATGATAAAAGAATCACTTGGTACCTATACACGAGTATTATTCCAATGTCTAAATATATTTTGTTTAAATAATTAATTGCCTTCAGATAAACTCAGTTTAATAGCGTTACATATTAATTTATATGGTTTCCGGTTCGGCGTTTGAAGTGAGATAAAAATATATTATGTTATTTGATTAATCTAATAAACGATTTTAACATGTTTAGCTACAAGCTAAAAGAACTTAACTACAAGCTTAGCTGTCAGACTTAATTCATTGTTTTAGTTTCCGATAATAATATATTATCCTGTTTTTTACTGTACAAACAAGATAGTATTAATACAATTGCAGTATTGTATCTGAAACTTATTATTGTAGGTATGAAAGTAAATTCCGCTAAAATTAGGTGGTTTTTATTTTATTACCTTGGATTTTTAAGTTTTCCTAGTGGTTTGTAATTTTGTATGAATCAAATTTTTTTTTGTGGCTGAACTGTAAAAATTACAGTTTAACATTGTTTATTGCAATTTAGTAGCAAATTTTAGAGCCTATTTCAAAACGACCGTTGTTTTTAACAATTTTATTCCATAGTTAACTTTGTATGTAGAAGTGTTCTGTTAC